GTGACAGGGCTGGACTGCAGGCAGGTCAGTTTAGCTCTCAGACTCGTTCAATATAGAGCAATGCTATTGTAATACATGCAGAATGTGGTTTGACATTGTCTTGCTGAAATAATCAAGGCCTCCCCTGAAAAAAACGTCATCTGGATGGCAAGATATGTTGCCAAAACATGTATATATCATTCAGCATTAATGGTGCCTTCACAGATGTACACCCATCATGCCATGTGCACTAATGCAGCCATATACCATCATGAATACTGGCTTCTGAACTGTGCACTGACAAAGCTGAGTTGTCTTTAGCCTGGAGGACACAGCACCCATGATTTCCAAAAAGATTTAAAAATTTTGATTTTTCAGACCACAGGACACTTTTCCACTTCCCCTCAGTTCATTTTAAATGAGCTCAGGCCCAGAGAAGGTGGCAGCATTTCTGGACCCTGTTTCTATATGGTTTCTTCTTTGCGTTTTAGAGGTTTAACCTTCGTGGATTTGTGGATGCAACACAAACTGTTTTAACAGACAGTGGTTTTCAGAAGCATTCTGAGTCCATGCAGTGATGTCCACTAGAGAATCATGTCTGTTTTAACGCCGTGCCGCCTGAGGTCCCAAAGATCATGGCCAGCAAATACTGGTTTCTGACCTTGTCCCTTGTGTACAGAGATTTCTCGGAATCTTTTAATGTTATTATGTACCGTAGATGACGGAAAGCAAAAGTTTTGTGCTATTTTATGTTGAGAAACGTTATTCTTGAATTGTTGCACTATTTGATTGTGCAGTCTTTCACAGAGTGGTGGATCCCTCCTCATCTTTACTTCTGAAAGACTCTCTTTTTTATACACAATCATGTTACTGACCTGTTGCCAATCAACTACCTGGTGTTTTATTTAAGCATTGCACTACTTTACCAACCTTTTGTTGCCCCGTCCCAACTTTTTTGGAACTTGTTGTTGGCATCAAATTCAAAATGGGCAAAGATTTTTCAAAAAACAATAAAATTTCTCAGTTTCAACATTTGATATGTCATCTTTGTACTTGTGTTATCTCTGTATTGTAAAGCACTTTGAATGACCTGAGCATATGAAAGATGCTATATAAATATACTTGCCCTGCCTGGTCTTTCTTAGAACTAAAGAAATCTGTGAAGCTATATCTGGAGCAATGTCTGAGGCTAGAGCAGAAGTAACCTCTGAGGCTAGAGCTGACATAACATCTGAGGCTAGAGCTGAAGCAACCTCTGAGGCTAGAGCTGAAGTAACCTCTGAGGCTAGAGCTGACATAACATCTGAGGCTAAAGCTGAAGCAACCTCTGAGGCTAGAGCTGAAGTAACCTCTGAGGCTAGAGCTGACATAACATCTGAGGCTAGAGCAGAAGTAACCTCTGAGGTTAGAACTGAAGCAACCTCTGAGGCTAGAGCTCAAAGCCTGGTTATAACAGAATAGTCACAATCTCGGTTTAATCTGTTCAACTGACCAGTACATTTGCCGCATTAGAAAAAATTCCAAAACAAATTAGGTGAACGTGCCTATAGTTACTGTCAACCAGATTTGATCAGATTTCATTATAAATATATCCACTCAGTGGCTGTGGAGCTGCACACAAAGTTCAGTACTCTTAAACCTAAAGAAAGTACTATACAAGTTAAATTTGAATTATTTAGAGTTACTATAAACTCCAACTTTCAACATCAATCCCATAATGTGATTGTTATCCCCTTTGATCTGTTTATCTTGCTATGGAATTATTCAAACTTGAAATAGAGTCTCGCTAAATGGAGGGAATTTAGCAATTATCAAGGGTCGGCATGATCTGAAAGAATTTAAAAAAGGAACTCATGGCCATTTTTCATATAAATGAAGTAAATTTTGCATGTCAAAATGAAACTGACCCCCTTGTGGATCTTGTTCTGATGAACAGGTTTTGTCTGATTTCCAAGGTGCAGTAGACTACAGTCTGGCTTTACTGTTGTATACTTCAATCTCATATTTGATCCCACTCATAGTTATAACTATGAATAAAAAATACCAATTGCTAAAAATGTACCATAAAAATATATATACAGTAGGGTCCAAAAGTCTGAGACTGCTTGTGAAAATGCTTCTATTTTTCAATCCTTTTCTAATTTATTAGAAAGATTTTCATTACAAATTCTATGATCAGCATAACAATTTGAAATTTATAATGAATTTCAGAATTTCTTAGTATTTAATCTGTCCTCTGACAGTGTTCACTTGAGCTGGCATACACTCAAAAAATTAACCAACACAGTTGTTGGACTTATAGAAGGAAAATATGTCAACATGAATTGTGTTGTCCTTAAGTTACTGATGTATGTTAAATTGGCCAAAATGAGTGAATTTTACTTTTCTTTGCTTTATATTTTCAAAATTCTAAAATGTTCTGTTTATTTCCAGTTTGAAATGAAAAAAAAAATTACAGATTTTCTATGTGGTCTCAAACTTTTGGACCCCACTGTATTTGGGTAATGCGATATTTTAAAGTCCCCTAAGTTCTAGGTATTAACCAGCTAAAGACCCTGACACACAACTCTGGGTGTCAACCATCAGATGCCAACAAGCTGTTGGTAAGCATTAGTGGCCAGCTGTGGCCCCGTGCAGTGTTCCCACATCACTGGCACTAGTTGTTCCTTTGGCTGATTGAGCATGTTGACTCGGTGTCTGTGGGTGGAAAGAAAGACACAAAATATAACCTGTGCAAAACTTATGCGACATTTTGGGTCATATTAATAAAAATCATGCAAATGTGTGGCACAGTAAGCTATATATAAAGTCACCATGGTGTTGATTAGCATACCAGTGTCTTTTTTAATGCCGCAGTATTTTTTCCTGTATCCTAGGCAAGAGCCAGTCAACATCCACATGTAAGTGTCATACATATTAAAGATCCACAGCCAAAGATTTGCTGCCAAATAGGATATAATGTGTCAAAGAAACACAAAATTCTCAGCAACAGAGCAATGAATTTTAAGAGAAGAAGTGCAGGCAAATATTAGTAAATTGTTTGGGGAAAAAAAGCAGCAAAAATTAAACAGCGAAAAAGAGAAGATGTAATTGCAGAACATATAAATGAGGTAGCAAATGAAACATGCACTGCTGTCAACTGTCAAAAGCGATGACCATGTGTGAAAAAAAAAGAAAATGTCGGACAGGCATGGTAAACTATTTAACTTTAAATCAAGAAACATATTATACATATTTTACAAATATAATAACTTATGTATAACAATTATAACATCTTAAAATTTAACTTTTAACTTTAGGAAAAATATTTTAGAATGTAAGATTTAATTTCTCACTGGTAAGAGTTCAAGCTGTTTTCCAATTCACTGTAATAGCAATATTCATTTTTACCAATATGAATTAAGGTGAAACTGAAATTGGAATATGAAGCTAACACCAGCCTTGAGAGATTAGCGTATCAGATTCAACGCAATGATGTGAACCTGGTGCTGGCTCTACAGAGTTCATTGCTCTTTTTTGCATTACCAATGTAGCATTTTTTATACGTAAATAATGAGAAGATGGACAACAGCGGCGCAAACTGCAGAAAAGTGGCACCAAGGCGACAAGAATGAAGAAACTATTTAAGAAGGATGAGGACATATCCGAGCAGGTAGGCAGTGAGAAATGCTGACCTTAACTTACATAGCTAGCATTAGTTTGTAGCATTTTGACTGTTATGATTCTGTCAAATTTAAGATGAAAAGTTTTCATTTTATCACTAGCAGCATTGGTTATCTTAGTGTACTAAATAAGAGATAAGATTAAAGAAAGAAAAAAATAAAAATTTTTTAACAATTATTTTGCATAAAGGCCATGATGTGTGTGTGTGTGTGTGTGTGTAAAACATGATAAATGCTCCAGCCCTGACATAAAACATTACCTAAAACAGTTTTACAGTTTTAGATTCATACTTAATTTGTGTTCAGTTTTTACTGACAGGGCAAAAATATTGATCAGATGAACAGATCAAACAAAAAGTGTGACTGGTCAGCAGAACCGGATCAAGTCATCGGCTCTAGGGGCAAATATTTGGTGGGCCCTTTTCTGCCTACCTTTTTTGGTGATCAGATTTTTTTTAATGATATCACAGCAGGTTTCATGAGGCCTGTGCAGCACAACCATGACAGTATCCTAACTGCAGTGTTGGGCATATCACCACTATGAGTGTCCTCAGTCGAGACAAAAAAACAACAAGATTATGCACACATTAACAAGAGCACATGTTAAGTCCAGTCTTAACAAGGACAGTACTAATAAAGACAACATAATTTAAAAGTGGACAGCTGAATATGTGCAAAAAGATGGAAAAAAGCAGCAACATTAAAAACCCAAACTGTGAAACATCCTAAGCTACAGCATACTGCCACATCGGGCATGGAAGTGTATTTATTTATTTATTTATTTTCATTTTATTTATATCTTTCCTCTTAGCACTGCCAATGAGGACAATGCAACATTCTCCTTTAACCCCTTAAAATCCCAGGCTTATTACATACTTAAGCTTATTATTCAGTAACTACAGGGACTTCAGTGCAAACTGGTTGCACTATTCTTAGGTTATAGAAGTGTGTAATAAAACTTTGGGCCCACCAACAGGCCCATGGGGTTAACTCGGGTTAATGACATTTTATATTTGTTTTAAAATGGACATCCTCCACTCTATTGGCATATCTGGTCTTACTTTTTCAGGCACATCTTTTGAATATCTGGAGCTTCAAATTCCCAGTACGTTCAAACGAACCCTAATTCACAGCTAAAAACTTATTAGGCATTGAAAATACATAGTATATAGGTATGAACCACAGCAGAAAAGAGCATCATCTTCAATTCTGCCAAAATGTTCTCAGGTTCTTAAGGACTTTTTCCACTAGTCTCAACACGCATTATAAAGTTATCATTACACAAATGTACAAAGCATTAAAAATCCAGTCAGTCATTTTTGATTTTGCAAGTAGACACTCTCAACCACTTAACCGTGTCTTGCTTCACTGGCCACAGAAGTCAGTAAGATTCCAACTTCTCTTTTCAACTTAAAAGACACGTCAAATCACGAAAAGGAATGTTTGTGGTGAACTGATTTTGTTTCCTACCTCATTTCTATATAAAATCTTCTTCGTTGTGAAGGAGAACGTCTTCTTCAGGGAAAGCCTACTCTCTCCCTACAGCATCATGACTCTCATCTCTCTGCTTCTGCTGGCTGCTCTGCTGCCATACCTGGGCCACTCTGGTAAGCATAAACTAGAATGAACTGATGCATTGCTCATTTATTTGTTAAAGCTTGATTTCAGTTACTGTTTTTAGTTGGACTCCACAGTTCTTGCATGCAGTTTTCAGATACATTAATTAGAGCAGAATAGAATGTGATAACTGGTTCACACTGAGCAGAATTTGGAGCCAAAAATACATACAGAAAGTATGATTATAATCATATATTCTCTCTCAGCCAGTGTTAATGTTGGTATAGTGAATGGCACAGAGGCTAGACCTCACTCCAGACCCTACATGGTCTCCCTCCAGGCTGGTGGACGACACTTGTGTGGCGGCTTTCTTATATCTGACCGATTTGTCATGACGGCTGCGCACTGCTATAGAAAGTAAGCTTTTATTCAAAGTGCTTCCTCAATAAAATCTGGGCAAAATGTCTATGATATTGTTTAAGTTGTTAACTTTCTCCAGCCTTTATTGGTGCTTAAAAAAGTTTGTTGTCTGGACAAGTTTCAACCAATTAACAACTTGGAGTCACCTGACTGTGAAACAAGATTTGTTGAATCTCCTACTTTAATTGAAATGAAATGTTGAGGATAAATATGGGGGAAACTATGAATGTTTCAAAGAATGTTATATTTGCGAAAATATGCCACATATGCAATTTCTTTCTCTAAACAGCCGACCAACGTTTACAGCAGTGCTGGGTGCTCATGATGTGTCAAACAGCAGAGAAGGCTCCATCCGCATGAAAGTGGCAGCTTACTACCCCCATCAGCAGTTTAATGCATATACTGCAGACTACGACATCATGCTTTTAAAGGTAAATGGCTATGCTGAAACACGTAAAAATACTGGTCAGTCATTCCCAAGTTTGGATGGGGACTCTGAGCAATATACCCCGATCAGGCATAACATTATGACCATCTCCTTGTTTCTGCACTCATTGTCTATTTTATCAGCTTACTCTTATCACACTTACTATATAGGTGCACTTTGTAGTTCACAATTTTTGGTTGGTGGACTATTCTCAGTCCAGCAGTGACACTGAGGTGTTTAAAAACTCCAGCAGCACTGCTGTGTCTGATCCACTCAGACCAGCGCAACACACACTAACACACCACCTCCACATCAGTGTTACCACAGTGCTGAGAATGATCCACCACCCAAATAGTACCTGCTTTGTGAGGGTCCATGGGGGTCCTGACCACTGAAGAACAGGGTAAAAGGGGGCTAACAAAGTATGCAGAGAAACAGATGGACTACAGTCTGTAATTGTAGAACTACAAAGTGCACCTATATAGTAAGTGGAGCTGATAAAATGGACAATGAGCGTAGAAACAAGGAGGTGGTTATAATGTTATGCCTGATCAGTGTACAGTCTTAGTCAAAGGAATCTTTGTAGTACAAAAAAGTTTTTTTCAAGTTATAATGCATTACAAACATGGCTATAAAGTGTAATGCATTTTTATAAATATTCATAGCCATGTTTATAATGCATTATGAATTGCTATAATGATTTATGACCTACAAATGCATCATTGTTATATGTTATATGTTATTCATAGACAGTGTTACCACTGAGACTTTACATTTATCACATTCTGCCAGCTTGTTGATAATTTAGCAAACAATGATCTTCTCACAGTTGCATGCAAGAGTCACAATGACTGCCACTATGAACTGGATCTCCATCCCTCAAAGAGATGAGGACATCCCGGCCAACACGGTCTGCAGTGTAGCTGGCTGGGGACGCACAGGAGCCTTTAGACCCCCAGCTAACCGTCTTCTGGAGACACAAACCACGATCATAGACAGGAGTAGCTGTGCTCACCATTGGAGTTTAACCCAAAGGATGGTGTGTGCGCGTTATCCTGGAGGATCTTGTCGGGTATGAAGCAATACTGGCTGTTTATCTGACCCAATGATGTACATCATGAAATGCATACATTTTGACAATTACACAACGAAGTAATACAATGATTTGTGTTGTTGTTAACAGGGAGACTCTGGAGGTCCTTTGGTGTGTAATAATGTTGCAGTGGGTATTGTTTCTTTTGGTGAGCAGCGCTGTGATTCACCAAGAAAGCCAAATGTTTATGCCAGAATTTCCGCCTTCCTGCCCTGGATCAGGTCCATTATCGCAAGAGGGTAGTCTGCAAAAGAACCAAAAAGGAAGCACTCAGCTTCTTTGATTTCAATTAAAGCATTTCTCAAGCATATTCTTTACTGTCTCCAGTTTCAGTTTTCTTCTGTTCCAAAACTACTGCAGGGAGTGACACAAATAAGGGTTAAAGCACATGGATTTATCAGGGAAATGCGAGTCAGAGTCAGAGTCCAGTCTGAAGTCTCTGGGGTTTGAGTCTGAGTCAATTCTTGCGTCTCTGGGGTTTGAGGCTGAGTCAAGTCTCGAGTCTCTGGGGTTCAACTCTGAGTCAAGTCTTGAGTATTTGGGGTTTGAGTCTGGGTCGAGCCTCGAATTTTTAGGTTTTGAGTCTGAATTGAGTCTCAAGTCACTGGGGTTTGAGTCTGAGTTGAGTCTTGAGTCTCTTAGGTTCGAGTCTGAGTCAGTTCTTGAGTCTCTAGGGTGCAAGTTGAGTTTTGAGTTCTTGATAACGAATTTTACTTTAATCTTGTTGTTCACTGCAATCATCACACAAAGGTAACTCCCTATGGTTTAACACGGCTTCGAATAACAAGACTTTTCACCAAAAGTAAATCTTCAGGCTGAAGGACTCATAAAAAAAAAACAAAAGATACACAAACAAACCTGATTAAATTAGGACTAATGATCTTAATCAACACAGGTTATTTAACATAAACCATTAAATCTACTTCATGATTGCTTTACTGAAGATTTGTAGATTTTCTTTATAATTCATTCGAGATGGGGACTCAAGTCAGCAGCTCAGACTTGAGTGGCAGGTTGCCTGAGTTGGGACTCAACTCAGACTTGCGTTAAATTACTTCTGTTGATTTTTGAGGTGAAAAGAATTTAATGTATCCTCTACAGAGAACATACTTAAATAGTACACCTATCTACACATTATAGTTTAGCTTAGCATTTAGTATTAAATTAGTTTCACTAGAAAATCACCAAAACATGTCATTGGACAGGGCTGGTTTGAACTTGAACATGACTTGTCCTCGTCTGCAGACGGATGTCTGTATGGCATTTCGTCCAAAGCATACACAACATCAAGATTTAAAGATCTGGTGGTCAAACAGGTAAAAAGAACCAATCAAAGGAGCCAATTAAAACTGACACGTAAATGAGATTATATACATTAAAGACTCACAGCAACTGAAGCTCTGGTCGGCAGCCAAAATGGACATAATGAAAGAAATGAAAACATAGAAACCCTAAATGTTAGAAATAGTTGTAGAATGTAGAATTTTAAGGGGGAAGTTGCTGGAGAAGAATAATAAATTGTCTGGTAAAGATGCTTTTAACTTTTAATCAAGAAATAAAGTTGCTTTGATAACACTTACCATGAATTCTGTATTCATAATGCATTTTAAAAATGCAATTACAAGGTGTTAATGGCATAAAAAACACACACATCACCGGGCATACGCTTGTTTAATTGCTCTACTTATAATTATATGCATGGCACTTTATAAAGCACCAATATGTGACTTTATAAAGTAAGGTTTCTTAATGCATTATCTGTTTATAAGAAAACTTAGACGTTACAGGCTGTTACAAGCTGTAAGTGAGATAATCACATCTAACTGGTTATACAGGACGTACATTGTAAAAAAAACTAGCAGTGTCTCACATCTTGTTTTCAACATTTTAAGAAAAGCTTCATGCCATTATATGTATTGGTAATGCTAAGTTAAAGCTATTGCTTTTGTTGGTTATATTTCTAAACAAAGCAGCTGTCATTTACTGTTGTTATCTACTGGCTAACATAAAGCCGCTCTCTGTGCTGCTAATGATTAGCTTTGGTTGCTAACTGCTACACAGTGTAGCACCTGTAGCCAGCTAGCCTAGCATTACGCTTTCCAGTTAGCCATTAATAAACACCCTATCAAATTCACACTACACATAAAAATCATACTTTTGAAAAAAAAAATCATTCTTTTAAAAGTAATTTAAAGCAGTGGTGCATCAACCAAAAACTGGATATATGTATCCGTCTGCAGAACATATGCCAGAAGCTTATTATAGTGCATAAAAGCATTCTGGTTCCCAATGGACATTCTTAAGGACAGATATTCTAATGAAATGAATGACATTACAAAGTTGTAAGCTCTTGTTTTATAAAGTGTTACACAAGTAACTGCTTATAAGCAATTTTAAAAGCTTATGCCAGGTATTATAAGGTATTATAACACCTTAAAAATGCATTTATAAGCCTTATGCATACAGGATTCATAGAAAGTATTGCAGACTCTGGATGAAAAGGCCTGGCTCGCATAATCATATATACTAATGTATTTACGTTTTAAATTTCTTTCTATGAATACCATGTCTATGAGCATTTATAAACACAATCATATCATGTTCTAATGCTTTCACAAGGCATTATAAATGTGGCTCTAAATGTTTATGTATTATACATACTGTTAATAACGTTATATTTTCAGTGCCAGCCCCAGCTTGCAGAGTGTAAAGTAAAGTGAAACAAATAAGTTTATTTATACCATCACATTTCCAATATTTTATTTCTCACCACAGGTGTTGTTAAGGCTGGACCTCTGAGGCCAGTTGCACCAGCTGAATGTGTTTGATCATAGCCTAGTTTGAGTGTACACTGCCGTCATATTGTGCACAAGAACCATAGTTTGAACATCTGAAAAATTCCAGCAGCAGAACAGAATCCAAGTATCCATTAGGCCCCTCCCCTGAAACCCCCCTCTGACATCACACTGAAGATGAAGTTGCTGTAGAGCAAAGGCATGGAGACTTTGTCACAGTGGGTAAAATACTACTGATGGCACCACTAGTTTAAAATCTGACACTTGAAGCTTGCAGTGTGCTTTACTTTGTAGGTGGCAGTGTTTCAGTAAATCCTTCAACTTGAAGACTCTTAATATTGGAGGGAACTTTAGTATAAAACATACCTCACTTTACTTAGAGCTGACAAATACAACTTACAAGCTCTTATAACGTGTTATGAACACTACTTATAATGAACACTACTTATAATGCATTATGTTAACAATTCATGATGCATAATAAGCATGGCTATGAAGTGTGAGGTGCGAGGGCGTGAGCTGATTGGCTGTGCTGAGGTCGGGGCAAGAGCTTATAAGCCTGGTGACCTACTTCCTCGAGGCTCCTCTTTCTTCCCTTGATGTTGCCACCTGACCAGCCAGACCAAGAGTTCCAAACACAGAGTAGTTGGGCCTACTCTCTGTGTAGTCTATTGTGATGTGTTAAACTGTCCACTGTGGTGCTATGTGAAGCCTTTTGTTAAAAGACTCAGACTTCTAGATTGGAAGCCGTAGGGGGTGTAGCCTTGTTTTCTTTGGGGTTTGTCATATGAATACTCTTGCTGCATTTATGTAAAGAAAGATATTTAAAGAATGTGATTAAACAAAGCGTAAAAAAATTAACTTTTATTTACCTTTTTAAACAGAAAAACACATGAAAAAGAATATAAGTCACCCATCAGTCATGTTTTTACATTTGTTACAATAAATATAGTCACTAATAAGTGTTTACCGATCTGAATTGATCCCTCTGAAAAAATCACAGGGTCCAGCAATAAAGGAAGCCTCGCACATCTTTTATACAGTGATAGAAAACACAATATACACGCCGCAATTCCTCTAGTGGCAAATTCATACGAGTTAAAGGGACCATCGCCAGATTAGTAAGATGCTCAGTTCAGTAGAGTTATAGTTACAATGGACGAACTGAGCTGAATTTGTAGAAATGCAGCGTCCTCATTTGTGAGAAAAGTTTCATTGAGAAAAGTTAATATTTGTGTTGTCAGATGTCACGTTGACCTTGTTATTACACACTCATTTAAAGTGAAACTGAGCCAGTCTATAGTCTTTGATTTTGAATAGCATATTTAGGACCTTCAGCTTTTCTATGGAGTGCTCTCTGCCCTCTCTCTGACTTCAGAACATTGCTTGATCTGTGCCTTCTGTAAGTGGATGGATAGCATTTCAGTCACATTAGAAAAATTGGAATTCAAAATTTAAAATAAAACAATAATTTGAATAATGTCACGTTGACCTTGTTATTACACACTCTTTTTAAGTCTATAGTCTTTGATTTTGAATAGCATATTTAGGACCTGCAGCTTTTCTATGGAGTGCTATCTCTGCCCTCTCTCTGACTTCAGAACATTGCTTGATCTGTGCCTTCTGTAAATGGATGGATAGCATTTCAGTCACATTAGAAAAATTGGAATTCAAAATTTAAAATAAAACAATAATTTGAAGTGATTCTGTTTTTATTGCTCCTGGAGGACCATACCCTAATAAAAGCTCCGCCCCTCATCTATACATCTGTAGTGACGACCCTGTTCACAAATTTAAATTTGCACTCTTGAAAAAGATGGTTCTTCTATATAGCACCAAAAAGGGTTCTGCTATTGTCACGATGTCAAGCTTGTAACAATAGAAGAACCCTTTTGGTGCTATATAAGCAAAAAGGTTCTAAATACAGTCATACACAACACATTCTCCACCTGATGCACAATTTTACCATGCAAAGAACCATTCAAGCATGCAAATGGTTCTTTGAGGGTTCATAGTTCTATATAGAACCATTTTGCTTGACTAAATAACCCCTCAAGGGCCATTTTTTAAGAGTGTAGTGTATGGGTTGTCATTTGATCAATGTTTTGTGATTTTCCAGTGCATCTTTTAGTTTGCAGTGTATTGACTTCTGTTGGCTGCTGTACTGAAGCAATCTCTGAGGCTAAAACCAAGCAACCTCTGAGGCTAGAACTGGAGCAATCCCTGAGGCTAGAACTGGAGCAATGTCTGAGGCTAGAACTGGAGCAATCTTTGAAGTCAGAGCTGGTGAAGCAATGTATGTGATTCAAGCCTTTACATGGCCAGGGCTGCTGGCAGGCCCAAAGTTCTATCACTCAGTTCTGTAACACTTTGCATTGAAGTCCCTGTAGTTACTGAATAATAAGCCTTACCATGTAATAAGCCTGGGATTTTAAGGAGTTAACAAACAGTGTCTAATCAATGAGACAGGAAGCAGAGAGACCAGTCAGGGACAGAGAGAGCAAC